ATAAATGCACAATTCCTCAAGTTTCAGGAGCAAAGAGAAGTAACTCACCCACAGGCTTCGACATGCCATTGCACTAACAGAGGCTAAATCTTCCCAGACCACGACTGTCTCAAACAAATACAGCTACTTCTGCACAGGTATAGTCTGTATGAGGTCGATGGAGAGCAGAAGTATTTAAAGGAATTGAGACAACAATCTCCCAACATACTTTACTCTAAATCCTCAGAGTAGTCAGTAAAGGAGGAGAAATCCAAATGGGAAATCTTTCCAAAGGCATGCCCTGATCTCTTCATTCATTGCACAGCTTTCTCATTAATGGGTGAACTATCACAGAGCTCCACAAGCATCAGTCAGGAATCAGCCCCACAGGTCAGGTGCTATAAGCATGCAGATAACACAGGGAGAGCCCCTGCTATGAGCACTAAAGAAATTACCTTCAAATTTCCTCAGCACCATCAGGAAAGGAAAATAAAGAGAACAGTGTACACACATATTTAATAAAAATGTTTTTCCCCTATGACCAGCCTGTCTTTCAGTATATACTGGTCTTGGTAGAAAATCCGTTACTGTTAAATTGCACGGTAGCTCCATCACACTATCCAGAAGATGGATTCTCAGCAAGGGACAACCTGCAAATTCACTATAAATATTGCTCCAGAATACATGGACAAAACTAAAATTTGTAGGACCCAATGTGGGTACACCACAGGAGGTAAAAAGTCCCATGACACTGAAAATAATACCCAAGAGACCAAAAGTAAAAAACTCTAGGGCAAATGTGCAGAAGAGACAATACACGGTAAAGTGTCTTTCAAGCAATCAAGGCAAGAGCAACAATTAGTTTGAACTCAGCACACAATCTGAGAAATGCTGTGGCCCTACAAGGAACAAAAGAAATTATAGTAATTTACATACAAGGATTCTCAAGGCTTTTGGTTCTGTCACAGATAAATACAGCTACCTTTGCACAGGTATGCTCTATATGAGATTGACAGAGAGTAGAAATATTTAATGGAAATGAGACAGCAATTTGCTAATTTTTTTTAACTGACTGTGGGAGCAAAGGTTTCAAAATGCTGAAAAAATAAGACAAAAAGCTTTATAAAAAACCCAGTATGTTTACACTACTTCTAGTCATTGGAAAAGCATCCTATGCAGTCATCTACATAGATTTAAAGGTGCTATAGAGAATAACTTCTATTGACAAACACTCTTAGAGCATCTTTGCTGACATACTACTGTACGGTTGCATAACGAACAGAAGCTGTCATTAGCCTGATTTTCCACTAGACATTTAACTGTATAGAGAGAGTCACTTTGTCAAGTGCTATGCACCTACACAGGTCATGAAAAACATGACAATTTAAAAACTGCATCGAAAAGGACAGTGACATAGGGGAAACTGGGATTTAATGAACTGGGTTAATAGTAACACCTGCCACCAGAAAAGGCAAGTACAGTTCTCTCATGATCTTCCTTATGTTCATAAGACATTTCTGTCATGAACAATCCATTAGTGTACAAGGATAAACGTTGAGCTTAGCAACTTGGCTTATTTATGAGGCAATCTGAAACAACTAATCAAACATAAATGGTCAAGGCTGAGTGTCAAGCAAACTCTGCTACTTAGGCAGTTCCCATTAATCTAAGTCTAGGATGGCCACGGTTTGGAAAAAGCGCACAGTGAAGTGCAACACAAAATCCAAGTTAGTAAAGCCTACTGAGAAGCAGCAAAGGCCCCTGTAGATACCCACAGACACACATCTTGGATCACGTTCTGCAGCAATATTGATCAAAGCGCTTTTTTTAAAAATCTAAGACCAAGGAAAATGTCATGATCTTCCTTATGTTCATAAGACATTTCTGTCATGAACAATCCATTAGTGTACAAGGATAAACGTTGAGCTTAGCAACTTGGCTTATTTATGAGGCAATCTGAAACAACTAATCAAACATAAATGGTCAAGGCTGAGTGTCAAGCGAACTCTGCTACTTAGGCAGTTCCCATAGGAAAATGAAGTCAGATCAAACATCAGGCCCAGTGCCGAAGCAAAAGATGATGACAAAAGCAACAAGTTGCTCTAACACTGATATGCAGTACGTGAACAGAGAGGGGCATGTATTTGCCCTGCAGAATTCGTGATACAAGTCAGGTATTTGATGCTGAATTGCCACTTATGCAGAGTTACTTTAAGACGGTAGAAAGGGAAAAGCATGTAAAGTATTTTGTAATCTTGGCAAACAGCAAGTACTCACGTTCAGCAATTTGCTGCACAGGAAAGCCCAGGTAGAAGCTGAATTCCACCACAGATAAGTTTCTTAGTTGCTCGCTGACTTCAGATCCATTTAGAAAACCATATTTATCTCGGACAGCAAAAACAATACTCACAGGGCCTTGCCGAAATGCCATCCCAGGCCTACTCAGAGTTATGTTCAGTATCTGAAAAGACAAGATTGAAGCCCAGTCAACAAGCATTTCCATTCCTTCCTTGACAGTCTTTGGTTTGGCTTCTGTCTGCTTCTTTCCCCTCCCCCTAATATGAAGGGGTGGGAGGGCAGTTCTCATCAAAACAGTGGAACATCTATTCCAGGTTGTTTCAGCCTGTTAAGTTTCAGAAGAGATCGTTACATGTGAATTCCTCTTAAGAGTTATCCATTAAGGTCAATTACAACCCAGAATGATCTGAAACCTACAGTCCAGAAAATGATGAAAAAAATCCACCTAGAGAAACAGTCAGCCAAACAAATCTACTGATAAAGAAATCTTAGATGAATACCAAACTGTGTGGAACAGACAGGCAGAGATCATGGTAAAAAAAACATTCTGAAAATGAATGTTCTTTAGGTCAAAACCTCCTGCACCATCTACCATTGGTTAGAAGCCTTATTTTGGCACCAATGTAGACAGCAACTGTGTTCATATAGACACACCTCTTCCAGGCAGTAACAAAGCATTTAAAATAAAAGTCTGCTGAACTGCTAATCCAAGGAACTGTTTCTCGTGTTCTGTCTTCAGTCTATCCAGTCATGTTGTGTCATTCACTCATACAGTTCTGAGTACTTTATTATACATACTATATAGTACTTTAGGTACTATGAAGTTTATGAAATTTTTCCTGCTATGGTTTTATTTTAGGGTACCACAGATGGGCATTTATGATGCCAGTTAGATAACACTAAAATTTTTACTAACTCTGGTATTACAACAAAGCTAGATTAAATTAAGGATTCAGACAGAAGAGGGAGTTGGTTTCAGTAAGTTTAATTACTGACTTGCCAGGGAGTTTTAGGCTCTGCTACGCGATTCCATACCCTGCACATATGCAATACATTTCATATGTGAAGTTCCAGCAGCAGCTGCCATGGACATCATATACTGCTGCAGCTATTTCTAGACTTCAGAAGCAACTAGTATGTTTGCTCACAGAACGGCAGAGTGCACAACTTCTATAGTCCCTAGTAGGATCCCGAGTGGCAATGAGACCCAGAAGCTGTCTTCCAACAAAAATATTATAACCACACTCTACTCTGTAATAGTAAAATCTAATTCCTTTAGTAAGGGTTGGCACGGGCTTTATAGGAAGCAGCATAAAAACCTATTATACTTAATAATGCTTTTGGATATAAATCATCATCTTGATCAGTTTTTCAAAAAGCTTGAAACCAGAGGAATATGTGGTGCCCTCCCCCCCCCCCCCTACAAAATAGTAAGACTTCATGACAAAGTCTCATCATTCTACATGATCTAGATGGCAAGAGGAGGCAGCTGACGAAAACACATGACAACCAAAGGTGAGGAGAAAAAGGGACAGACATAAAGCTTATTAATCTTCTTACCTGCACAGTGAAGTTGTGCAACTCCTGAGGTCTGCTCACCTCCCTGAATGCCGTTGTCAGCCCTTTCTCAATGCGTCGGCTAAAGTTGCAGAACCCAACATCCACGTTCCGAGGCACAAACTGAAGCACTGAAAGCAAAGGGTACAAGTCAGTCTCATAGACAAGTACTTCCCCAAGTGAGAACAAAATCAATGAGAGAATCCATATAGCTATCCCATTTTCATAGAATTCAGGATATAGTCAGTGAAACACTGGGTAAAAACACAGTAGAAATATATTTTCTGTTGGTGCAGTAAATTCTATACTCATTAATATCTGTTGCAGCAGTAATTACATTGCCAAAAGATAATAGTGATAAAAATACCCACTGTTTCCTCTTGCATACTGAAGGACTTTCACTGCATATATGTGGCTAATTTTACATGACTTGAACATTGAGTTAGCCCCACTGAAATCCTTAGTACTCAACAAATCAATGAAAATCTTACGGAAAAAAGCAACAAATTTCTTTCCCGTAGAACAAAATATAGTATTTAACTTGTCTAAAAGACACATACTGGGTACATTAATGCACAGTAGCATCAGTCTAACACTTTCAGAACAATTAGCAAACAATCTTTTAAATGTAGATACATACTTTCATGGAGAGAAGGAAAGAGTACAGGAGAGAGTGAGCGCAGAGGAATGTGAGCAGGCAGAAACACACTAACTACATACACATCTGTGGATTTCCTGATATAGTCTTAGTCAAAGAAATGCCTATGATTAGGTTACGGACCCTCAAAGCAACGTTATACAATGTTCAAGAACAGCAAATGTGTCTACTCTCTATCTATACAACCATATTACAGCAGTAGAAAAAGACATCACACCTGCACAATTAATGTCCTACCATACAGTTATTAATAGAGCAGAAGTAACACATGAAAGACAACTGAGGAAAAGCACAATGTTAGACATTCATTGACTCTCTGCCTGTATATTCAATCCCTATCATTACCTCATTACGCAGTCCAGCAACCAGGCAGGTGGTTCTGTTATGCAAATAGCATGTGAAGAAGATTTTAAATGATACCACCAACTTTCAAACTCTACTATATGGATAATATTTTACTTTAGATTATTAGTGTTGATGAATTTCACATAAACTGCTGCTATACAGTAGCCACAGAAAGCTGAATACTACATAAGCAATCCTCCTGCTCACGTTACACATGAGCAATCGATCCACCTGCTCATCAATTCTCCTACATTATGAGAATTCTAAAGGGTAGCATTTGAAGTAAACATACTTTGAAAATTGACTCAAGCATTATAAAGTAGCTGTACTATGATTTTATGAATAAATGTTTCATTAGGATTTTTTTTTTTCTTTTCTCACCTTTTGAAGCAAGGAAAAAAACACCTTTTGCAAGGTGCCAAAAAAATGTTCCTGAATAATGAAATTAAGGGGTTAACTGCTTACAGTTTATCATCTTTCAACCATGGATCCGGCAAGTATTTCACTAACAACCAAGAATTAAGATTCACAGCAGTAGAACATGGGAGTTTGGCTCGACTTTGCATACTTAATCGTAAGCAAAGACATGTGAATCAGTGCGAAGCTACGTCTGCCCCTCTTTGTGTCAGGAAGAACTCACCTGTTTGAACTTGGAATCTGTTATCTGGCACAGTGAAAGAAGGATGCAGTGAGAGGATCATTGGGGCCTCACCACGGAGAAGACTGCTGTTCACAAGCACATTTATGACAGCTACTGCCGTATAAACAAAAGGACCTGATGTCACCAAGAAAGTAAATTTGGGGGTAATTTTATAAACCTACAAAAAAAAAAAGGAAATTAAAACAAAAAAATCAATGTGAAATTTGGAAACATTTTAGACCTACAGTCTCACACATTTCAAAGACACATCATCAAGAGGTAGGAAAACACAGTCTCTGTTTTTCAAAGCACAAACACTCCGATAGCTCTGTGTCTCACAGCCTCTGCACCAGTGCATCAGAGAGGCAACTGCCCTGTCCTAGGCGCACCTACTAGAATCTCTTCAGCACAACACGCCAATCTCAATGCTTCTCCATTTATCACATCCCAGCATAGTAGGACTCCTCCTCGCCTGCATTCCCCTGGAGTAAGAGTTCCCATGTAAAATTGCTGTTTGCTTCCTGAACTCTTTGCATAGCTTCTGCATTTCAGTCATACACTGTGGAACAAATACATCCTATGCCATTCACACGTGATATGCAAGGAGCAAAATACATAACACCTGTATTTTACAGATAAAGTTTTCACACTCAAGAATGCTTTATTCTAGAGAATATTTCTATCTGGTTATTTCAGTGCAGTTACCACAACTATAATTTTACTCTTCCAATTCATCTTCTGACTTTGAGTCTGCTTAAAAACCCTGAGGAGCATTAGTCATCATGTAAAAGAAATGAGACTGTAAGTAAAATATAAACCTAGGTGAATGTTTCCATGCAGACTCCATTTCTCTGTCACCTAAGTAAGAACAAACTAAAGGCTCTTATTTATTTAAAGATATTGCAGTGCCTTCCCTCCTTTCAAGAAATTCTCTCAATATCAAAGACACTTGTATCTCAGCATTATTTTTCCCCTCTTTGGTTTACTCCCAGTTCGCTTTATTTGCCTAAGGCAGTCACACTAAAGCATTTTAAAACATCCACCATGACGGCTACACAAGTAAATATCTAAACTAGAGACCCAAAGTTTCTGATAAACGTGTAATTTTTAGATGCAGAGATGCTAGTACCCTGCTGGCTTTATGCTGAGGAAAGGACACGTAAGATATCCTCAATGTCAGGATCAGCCTCATAGAAAAGCACAGTGCTACTTAAATTGTGAGCCATGCGCTGTTTACTGGTATTTCTGCAACAGTGTGAAGTGATTTCTGCAACAGTGGAAAGTGATGTCTCATACAAACAGCAATTGCTGTTTATATGAGACAGGAAGAAGCTCCTTCCTATCCTCTAAAACACATGCATTTCAAAGAGATCATCTTCACCAGAAGAAAATATCTCAGTAGCAGAAGGATATAAAAAATAATCTACGCTGCTCATTTTTCCTTTCTTCCTTCTTAGTCCACAAATACATGCAACATCCAATTTTAAAGGGATTTAGACCCACAGAACTCAAATTTGTTTGATATGAATAATACGCACAGCTCTTTTCAGTTCCTCTTATCTGAAGCTTTACCCTTTTATCTCAGGATGAAATGATCTCTGCAGCTTCGGTTTGTGAAATGGAAACAGCAGTTATAATGGGTATGACACACCAAGAGAAAGTTGACTATTACTCGCAAAGGAGACTACTTAAAAAGCAAGAAAAAGGAATTAGAATTACAAATCTCAGTGAAAATTTGCTGGTGATTTTCAAAGCAATATACACTATGGAAGAGAGGCCTAGTGTAGCCAGCATACACTTATGCACTAGAGTTAGGTATTTCAGACAAGAAAGTAAGCCTCTGATACCTAACTCAGCTGTCTCCACCTCTGATCTGTTGCAGCACATCACAGATGCAATGAAAGCATCTTACCCAAAACACCCTCCCTGGAATTTTTTACTGCCTTTCCGGTCTTAAAAGCTAACACTGTTTCTCTTTTGTACTTTACTGCAGCACAAAAGAAACAGCAACTCCAGAAGAATGGAGATTTCTTTAAAAACTTGTAAGTGTAATTTTGAGATAGGTAGATTAGAACCACTACAGGTCAAAACAAGAGCTATTTCTGCTTTAAATATTGCAGGGTTGTCTAGAATTAGCACTCTACAGCCTAATTCAGGTGACAGGAATAACACCGCCGTGACAGCATGATGTTGTCTATAATCTAATTCACAGAGAAGTTTTCAAACTTATCTAGGATAGACGAGCATAGCTCATGACTCTTGATTCATGAATAACGCCTCTTGGCATAGCTCTAATGGTTCACAAACCCAGCTGACCGCTCGACCCTCTCTTGATGGTTTCACCTCTACTGTCAGGACGGTTGATGCCAACAAATTAGCTAGCTGAAGCACCACTTGTAAATTGCCACCTATTAAAGGAAACAAGTACAATTTTCCCATCTTAACACTTGGCATCAGAAAACTGGAGGTACATGCAAAGAAACTCCATATGCACTTTGGAGCCACTCCCACAGCAAATGTAGAAACCTTCGGCAGGAGCAGAGAACCTTTATACCACCTCAAATTAAGCTATCCCCCTTCACAGAATCACAGAATCACAGAATGTTAGGGGTTGGAAGGGACCTCTGAAGATCATCTAGTTCAACCTTCATCCCAGCATACCTAACCACTACACCATAGCCTCAAGTGCTAGATCTACTTTTTTTTTAAACACCTCCAGGGTTGGTGACTCCACCACCTCCCTGGGCAGCCTGTTCCAGTGCCTCACCACTTGTTCAGTAAAGAACTTCCTCCGAATATCCAATCTAAACTTACCCTGATGCAACTTGAGGCCATTTCCCCTTGTCCTGTCATTAGTAATTAGAGAGAAGAGACCAGCACCAGCCTCACTACAGCCTCCTTTGAGGTAGTTGTAGAGGGCAATAAGGTCTCCTCTCAGCCTCCTCTTCTCCAGACTAAACAAACCCAGTTCCCTCAGCCGCTCTTCATAGGTCATGTTTTCCAGACCTCTCACAAGCCTTGTTGCCCTTCTCTGCACCCGCTCCAGCACCTCGATGTCCTTCTTGTACTGTGGTGACCAAAACTGGACACAGTACTCGAGGTGCGGTCTCACGAGTGCCAAGTACAGGGGCATGATCACCTCCCTCCTCCTGCTGGTCACACCATTTCTGATACAGGCCAGGATGCCGTTGGCCTTCTTGGCCACCTGGGCACACTGCTGGCTCATGTTCAGCCGGTTGTCCACCACCACCCCCAGGTCCCTTTCCGCCAAGCAGCTCTCCAAAGTGTGATGGCTAACCCAGGTCTGCTGTTTCCAGGACACAATCTCTCTCATGCAAAGCTACCCTTACGAGAGAGTGCTTCTAACACAGAAAGTTTTCAAGCCTTGATTTAACAGACACTAGAAGATCATCTGGGGAAAACATCATCATATGCTTACTCTTCCCCAAGCATTTGCTATTGATTATTGTCTGCTAAAATATCTGAGTAGATATACCTTTGCTACCGTCTAACCCATGCCTCCACTTCACTGTATTTTGCTGTGTAAACATCTGGCAGAAAGCATAAACAACTGATTTCCTCACCACCACCTTATTAAGCATCCTGTAAAGAGCCTGCAGAGAGTGTTTAACTTCCTGAAGATGGGCTACAAAGGCTCGCAGGTCTTAAAAATGAAACAAAGCCTCTGCTTCTATGCACATTAAGATCCTAAGGTAACAATTCCCTCACCGTTTTTACACACCTGAATAGTGTCAGCCAGAACTTCAGCAGCAGTGAGCAGTGATGAAGTCAGTGCAAGCCCACAGGCTGGCATCTCTGAAAGAATTATTGAACTGCCAAACAATGAACTGATCCCCTCACTGTGAAGGCAGAGGTTTACTGATTCTGTTTTATAGAAACCAGAGTGCTAAGGACAGGCCCCAAATCCCCACATTAAATGCAGCAACAAAGAAGCTGTGGTACACAATATGCTGCATGATAAAATTTCCAAGCACAAATGAGGCTGGCAAAAAGTTTTTCCTGTTGGCATGAACTTAATGGCACCAGGGGTTCTGGCAGCAAGTCACTGCCAACACTATTTTATTTCATACCCCAGTGCAACAAAGCTAAGTCAAGGGAACATTGTATAACAGATCTTACCCAAGTGTCATAAGGTTTACATTAGAGAAAGTTGACAAAAATTGCTCTTATTCAAACAATAGAGTCTCATTCTTTTGCAGATGCAATACATCGAGACCAACTGGAACAAAAGAACTTTAAAATTTCAGTTTCTTCTCACTTTGCTGTAAGGACTTTTGCTAGGAAAAAAATGTCAAAATTGTTTTCGTTACACAGGATTCAAGCCTGCTTCCTTTTTTTTTTTTATTTTTTGTTCCCATTTCAGTAAGTCAGAGTACTTGAAATAATAAAGAAGCAGAGACCAAAGTTTCAACTGAAAAAGTTAGGGGAAAAAACCCCCCACACTTTAATTCTCCCTGTAGTATTAAGCTTGATTTGTACTTAAAAGTGAGCAGCAGTTATATCCATCGTTGCCATGGAATTTTTTTTTTAAGCATTTATTACTACCAAGTTAAATTTAACAAGACTGTCTCCTGATTAACTGTGCATTACATCACAGCAAGGGAATAACATCTGTGAGTTGTAATAGGAGACACAGTTAAAAAGCCGCTTAGATAGTACGCTGCTTTACCATAACTTGCAAATGTACACATGGTTCCTGAATACACTTGACTAACTAAAGTCGGGTCTGTATGATTAATGAAGTTTAGCAATATAGACAAATTCTGTTTAAGTTTTGCATTACATCACCACTCAACATACTGACATTAGACAGTTCTTTTTTTAAAAATAACTGTTTTGTTAGTGCTCTGCTGTTAGAGGTGAAGACATTTGCTAGTGATTATTTTTAGGGTAAAACCCATACCAAAGGCATCACAAAAAACACATATGACAGCAGCATTCTAGCATTAAAAATAAAGCATAACTGACTCCACAGAGACTTCTTCTCCTTTCGATAAAAAATAATTTGCAAAGAATGAAGCTGGACTAACTGCATTACTGATGAAAACAGTTGCTTCTGAGAAGCCTTAGGGCAAAAACATCCTATTGAGAGCTTTGCAAGGCAATGGTGGGTATGAAAGGAAGAAATCTAAAGGACAAAAATATAAAGTAGTAAGATATCAAATGTTTTCTCCAATCAACCTTCAAATATTTAGCAAAAGATTTTGTCTTACTGCTGTTACTATTATGAGGGTAAGTGCTTCCATACTACTGATGCGTATAAGGTCACTGAAAATTAGTGTAGTTCTATCATCATGAACTTTTGACTTCTACTTGACTATGCCAGTTTCCACAATCTGAAGGTATAATTCACAAACCATTACAAAAATATCTTATTTACAAAAAAAAAAACCCACACCTAAAAAGCTTACGGGCAGGTATTGCTAAAAGGACTTAAACTACACATAATTTATACTGGCAGCTCACTGTGACTGAAGTTTGGCAGAAATTTGTAACACTCCTATCTTGACTGAGCAGTAGAAAGGTATATTCTCAGACACCAGACACCTGCAGGTGTTGATGGCCTCAGAACATAAAACAGCACAAGGCTGAGCAGAAGGTTTTGTTTTTTTTAAGATAATAAGTATATAATCAGCTAGCAGAAGAAACAAAACTTTTCAACAGGTATTCCGAAGAGGAAAACCTTTTCAGTTCAGTTTCAATTCACCAGCTAAAAGAGATGAGCAGGAGAAGCTATGCACTGCTTGCTCACCTCTGGAAAAATCCATAAAAGTCTGTCATAGAAAATGATGACATTCTAAAATAAAAAAGCTGATGTCGTATTTGCATTTGAAAAAAAAAATCAAACCATAAAAAGCAACTAACATTTAAGTTAGAATAAACCTCTCTCTGATATAATACTACATGCGTTGGTTTTGAGTCACTGTTTTAGCCTGTGAACTAAACCCACTATTGTATTGTACTGATCAAAGAGTACTTGTACACACTTCATACCACTTACCTCTAGCTCTACTGATCGCCTGAACCGAACTCTGAGCACTTCTTTGATGGATTCACTGACATTTTGTAGAACAGCTCTTCGAGCCAACACTGGAAATTAAAGTCAGTAAATATTTTAGCTCCATCTCTTGGGCTTTGGTTCAAAGCTGCATTTTCAATTGTGCAGTGCATGAAAAAGCAGGCAATGAGATCAACTGCATCAAAGGGGTAAAACAATGGACAAGGGAACAGGTAAAGGTGTGACTGTATCCTAAAAAGTGACCATACACACACTTTAAAGAACTTGAGGTTTATTTTCTCTCTCGTTTTGTTTTTCCATATCTAATGTATTTGGTGTTCTAGTAAAAGAATCATCTAAAGAACCACTGAAGCATTCAAATTGGATGTGAAAGTCGCAGCACATTCGGTCTGACCTGTGCACAACGAGCCTGCTGTCAAAACACAGTTAAAGTTTTGTAGGCAACACATGGAATGCAGATGAGGTCAGAAAAAAGCCACAGAAAATACACGTCTACTTTTCTCTTAAATAAAAGTAAACAAATGTGACATTAATTAGTGAAAGGGATATCCATCAAGTAAGAAAGTGCTTTAAAAAGCCAACATCCTTATGGATGTCACGTCTGTTACAGTCACACTTGAGACCATGACAATGTCAAGGAACCAACTGAAAAGTGTTGTGCTGTCATCCTTGCATTTACTTCTCATCCATAACTTGCCTACAGAACTACTCAAATTACAAGATAAAAAAAAATAAATCTTCCTCATTACCAGCATAGCCAGCTCACCTTCAGATCTGGATGATGAGATTACGCTCATTCTGCTTTAAATATTACAAATAAATCTTAAGGGTAAAATGTGTTCCTCACTACAGAACACACAGCACTTCTGCAGCTGCCCTGGATTAGTTTGCTAGTATTGTTTTGTTAGCCAGCTAGGAAGAGGTAGGAAAACACCAAAAAAGCAAACCCAGATGCTGAGACAATTAATTTCAAAACACACTAACGCCACTTTTTCTGGTTACAGACACACCAAATCCAATTAAAGTAAGTACGGGAGGAGGGAAAATATAAACATAAGCTAGGGGGGGTAAAATTATAAAAATGGTAACAAAACCCAAACATTTTTTAATCAACTCTCCTCTTTCATATTATAACATTACCTCACATGCAGGTTTTTTTTACAAGCAGCAGCAACAACTGAAAGGAGAAACTTACTCAGTCAGAACATTTAATCATTTGGCAGAACAGTACCATGACAGTAACATTCATTTACAAACCATGAAATTATATAGCAGTCTCTAATTCAGCATACTTGTATATACACATTAGTAATTTTAGAAGACAATTCCATTCTCTGTGTAGTGCTAACGTATATGTAATTCACTATCACAACAGACTTTGTTCAGGTGAAAACTATTATTTTCAAGAGTAAATCATAAATCAATGTTTTTACAGCTGTTTGTCTAAGTTTACATTGCATTCTTCTGAAAGGTTCACTTAGCTAATTCAACACCTGCAATTCAGCTAGGCAGTCACATTACAGTGGCTTCTGAAAAAAAACCAAATAAAAATGTTAGAAATATCTTACCCGCAGAGACTAAATAAGCATCAGGAACCGTGATGTCACAGACATAGGGTTGCCTAGTAGTGGTCACAGCAGAGGTTGCGACCACAGATTCAGATGGAGAAGTGATCACCAGAGGGGTGGAGAAGAACGTCCCCAGGCCACCTCCAGCAGTGGTGCTGTGGATGCCCGTGGCAACGGTCCTGGAGACAGTGGTGGGAGCAGCTGATGTATCGGTACCAGTGGTTCCACTGCCTCCTGTTGGAACTTCAGGTCCAGTGGGAGGGACATAAGTCGAAGGAAACTGTGTGGGAGCAAACGACGGGGTCGCAGATAAAGATGCTGTAGGAATGGGCATCACGCTGCTGGTGTTGGCACCTGACGTCGGGTTGTCAGGGTCTGTGGGAGGAAGGGCTGTGTGGGCACTGCCCTCGCTGTGAGACACTAAAAGCAGTGTAGGGTTAACTGTAGCACCAATATCCTCATCAGAATCCAGAGCAGTTGAGAACAGAGATGAAGATACATTTAAGATAGGAGTTGACAGAAGGGTAGTAAACAAGGAAATCAGATTTGTCTCACTGAGCAAGACGTTGCTGGTAACAGAGCGGGTGTCGGAAGTGGGCAGCACCAGGGTAGGAACCACGGAGCGATAGGTGGACAGTGATGGCTCCAACTGAGAGGTAGCTCCTGTAATAGCTGAGGTAAATGCAACTTCAGAGCCCACTGGCAATACGGAGGGTGCTTCCAGAAATGGAGACAACTCAGAGTCAAAAACTGATGATGGCGTTATTTCAGGAACATATGCACCTGGAAGAGAGGATGCATTTGAAAAGAAGTATGATGTTTGGCCTAGAGGGAACTGAGAAACCTCAGCATCAGTGGCAAAGCTGACAGTGGTAGTTAAGTCCCAACTGGAAATATCCTCAGAAAGTACTGATGTCCCAGTCAACAAAGTCTGAGGTAAGAGCGTTGATAAATCACTTTGTGGGACAGAGTAAGAATTTAGCACAGCTGACGATAAAGATGAGTAGCTAGGTTCAATAAGAAATGTTGTTGATAAAAGACTGGATGTAAACTCTGAAATATTTAAAGATGGTTCCTTCCTTGCATATGTCTTGTCAAGCAAAAATACAGATTCTGATGGCATTAATTGTGGCGACTCTAGGAAAGTTGTACGAGTGACTGCAAATGATGTTACGGGCTCACTGAGGATAAAGGTAGAGTCAAACAGCACAGTGGTGGCATCAGGAAGTTCTTCACGAGTGCTTGGTGTCAGTGAAACTGTTTCCAGAATAGGGAGGGAAATCTGGGAAGAGATGTTCAGTGATGTTCCTCTTGGAAGCGGAAGGTAAGAAGAACTTGTTATAGGTGTGCTGTTGTTAAGTACAGTGTCCGTAGTGCTTAATAAAAACACGCTTGAATCGGGCATTTCTGCAAATCTCGAAGAAAATGAAACAACTGGTCTTGACGGAAAAGAAGTATCAAAAATTTCAGGTGTAGGCTCCTCTAACTCATACCCATCAGTAATTAGAGTTGTAAATGGAGTTATGCCTTGTACTTCAGAGGCTTTGATGGATAAAGTTTCAACATAATCGCCTGAGCCCGCATCATGTTCTGGGGAAAAGCCTGCTTCTGGCAGAAGTGAAACCGAGTCACAATAGAGACAAGAACCATATGATCTCGTGAAAGGCACTGGACTCGTGAGCTCACTGACAAGCTCTAACTGACTTGGTATTTCTGAATCAGCAGGCAAATTTGGTGTTGTACTGGAAAATTTGTGTGTAAACAGGCTGGCATTAAGAACTGTATTAGAGTCTGTGGAAACGGCAGCTGAGTGAAGTGGGAAAGACGCAAGTGGAAGACTAAGAGGGAACAAAGCAGGCTCAGCACTGGCTGATGGAGCTGACAAGGCCCAGGGAATCTCTGGACTGGGATAGGTCCTTAAACTGAGAGTTTCTGTTGCCTTGCTGCTCACATCAGCATAAACGTCACCATACAGGTGTGCACGCTGTGCTGTGGCATCTGGGGTCACAGGGCTAGTTTCACCTACCAGCTTGAGATAACGAGGTGACCCTTCTGAAGCAGCCCCAAAAGGCAGAGCTGTTAAACTTGCATTTATGTTTTCCTGCACTGCAACTCCCGCCTCTGAAGGAATGGAAGTGAAATAAATAGCTGTATTTGGAGAGTACAACAGCAAGTCTCTGCTTGCTGTTAGCATTTCACTATCTGGTACAAAAGGCTTCAATTCTGTACGAGTGTTACGGCGTTCAGGGACAGCACTCGACGGAGTCTTTTGCTGTGCTGTTTTTGAGATATCATATGGCGAAAAAAGGACAGATAACGAAGGTGTTAGCAACACAGTTTCTAACACTTCTCTTGATGGCTCTACTGTATTAACTGAGTGATGATCTGTTAAAACCGCAAAAGACTTCAGTGGAGGAGTCCACTGTGCCTTTGGAAATGAGCTAATAAATTCATCGTCACTTAAGAACGCCTCATTGCTTGTTATGGAGACATCTACCAATGACGTACTTCTCCTTTCTGAAACCCTGACCATTTCTTCTTGGTTAAATAAAGTCACATCAAAGGGAGTGGTAATTGATGATAAAACCGTTTGAAGGAAATTACTTTCTTGGAGCTCCAAAGTACTTTTTGCTAAGGCCATTTGTGTCCTGCTGCCTGATATGCTTTGGTGCACCTTTGAGTCCATTGAGAAAAAGGAAAAATTTTGCTGCTCCAATGATCTCTCATCTAAATCAAGAGGGAGACAGAAAACAAAAAAACACTAGATTAGCACAAGTAGTAAGATCACAATAAGCAAACCCTCACACACAGTATTTCTGAAGACAACCACCCAGAATTAAAGGGCCGAGACAAAATCTCTCAGTACATGAAAACCCTCCACGGGCAAGTCAAAACAAATGGTAAGATTCTCTGTCAAAACTCCATTCCCTGGAAATGTGCAGGACCACACGAGCTCCTCTCACGCTGCACCTACTCGACTCTCTACGGCAGCACTCCAGCAAGCCCCATGGAAGGACAGAAAATAGCTCCCTCTTACCTATACCAGGCTACAGTACATGGCAGATCACAGTCTCGCAAAGTAAACAAACCAAAAAGGGTAACAAGGAACAACTCGGGGAAAAATTCTATGTAACTTCAGGTCTTCTGCTTTCCTCTACTCTCATTTTGGCTTCCTCCGATTTTATTATTTCTTAATATTAGACTTACTGGCAGACCTGTTCCACTTCAAGGATCAGATTCTCCCTTCTCATGTCAGAAATGAATGACACTTATGAGAAAGGAAGAGGGATTCCTTTACATAAGGCAAATGTAGAGCTGTTATCAACTACAAGAATTTGCCAAGTAACGTGTCCAGTAGTTACGCTTACATTGTCAGCCATTCATTTAACTTAGGGCCTTTTAGCAGTCAGTGACAAACTGCTTCATTACACAATTGCCATCTTTATTCACAACCTGCTGGAGAAGCACTCTGTTTATGGGCCAACTTTCAGTGCTCCAGTTTGCAGAATTCATGGAGTAACAGCCAGGTTCAAATGCAAAGGACAAAAAGCTAAGAATTCACCAGATATTTTTTAAAAATGCTTGCAAAACCCATATATGAATATTATTTGCGTAACTTGACTATAACTCCTCCTCTATCACAAAAGTGCTCTTGGGTTATAGAGAGGATCTGTGTATAAGCTTTTCCAACCAGGGATGCATTCTGCAGAGAGAAGGTTGATTATTGCTTGAGTACTTTTCTGAAATGTCAAGACTGGATTATTAGCCTTCCGAGTTGAATATTAAAGGAAATCACAGAAAATTGCCGCAGGATATTTTTCAAGGATATACACAAAGGCTTCATCCTTAAATTATCTGTCTCATCTGATCAGCCTGTTTCCACATGGGAGTGTCCACACAGTGCTGCTGGGATCTACTGGTAACACACATTAAAAAGGGGAGGGAGGAAGGAGGGGCAGGAATCCCACCCAGTTAAACCACTAGTTTAAAATAAAAAATTAGCATACACAGTATAAAGTGCTGGATGGTGTTACAGCATACTGTTCAACCGTAACTATGTCTGCAACCCTTTAGATGATGCCTTGAAATCAGCCACCCAGGTCAGATCTTGCAAGAATACCTCTTGTATCTGTTACGCACTGCTGTCAGTCTACTGCCTTACAATCTCTATGGGGGAGAAAAAACAACCAAACAAAAAAGACCAAAAAAACCATCCAGCCACCAAAACCCACGTATACTCTTGTAAAAGCCATGTAAGACAAATATACAAGTCCATCCTTACTTCTTCCATGGGGGTCAGCTGTCTGAACGCAGTCCAGTGAAGCAACCAGGAAATAACAGCTTTCACAAGCAGTTACTGTGGGTAACAGACAAAGTAGTTTCTAGCAGGCACCGAGCCGAAACACAGACCTCCGAGCCAGTTCTGTTTGCTGAGCAAAAGCTGTTCAATGTTTTCTCCTCAATAAAGGTCTCCCTACTCTTGCTCCTTCCTTTTATTCAGGCTTCCAGCCCTTATTTTTCTCTTTCTGATATTTTGAGAAAGCAGAGAGCCACTAAAGCAAGAGTCACAAGGCTTTGAAACCAACACCAACAAAATGAATCACCTCCCTCCCTATACACACGCATAATTCCTTTTAGCCAGCCCTGTAAAATCCCGTCCACCCTTGGTCACACTGGACACCAAGCGCTGGCTTACAGTGAATTCCACATTGCAGGCAAACATGCAAATAGATCAAGTTCTTTCTTGTCCACCAGTTTCACATTGTAAATCCCTGCAGCATTAACCCAAGAGAGCTAAAAAATGAGAGCTAAAATGGCAACTGTTACACATGACAGTTAATATGATCGGCAAAGGTGAATACCTAATTTGTAACGTAACTGCACTTCTGATCTGGTATTTCCACAAATCTTTGACCCAAAGCTAGAGGTGATGGCTCAAACAACACAGTTTCACTGCCACAGAGAGCTCCCTTTATCTTTGTTTAATTTGGCAGGGGAGCTGTCGCAAAGCAAGATCCTGCTGGAAGTGACTACGCGTCACAGAAAGATGTTACTTGAACCACCACAGGGTGTCCAATAGACATGCAGAAGAGGCAAGGGCAGTCTTGGCTTTAAATTCATTCTGACTTTAGAACTAGTTTTTTGCTGACAGTCTGCTAATATTTTTCCCTGAAAAGACACTTAGGTTACAGTAACATATAGCTAATGTAAAGAATCTTGCCACTGATACCAGGAAAGAAAGAACATTTTTAAAGAGTGTTTCTTCTTTTTTTCAAAAAAAAGTATCACATTTTGAAAAAGTTACAAGCTATAAGACAAGGTAACAAGTAAGTGGAGTGGGAAAAATTCACCTGTGCACATAGGATTTTGAAACAACTCCTCACCAGCAAGTTTGCAAGCCAGTGTTCTACGCTGTTTGCTTTGTTTAGAGTTTTAGAAGCAGGGAGCATTAGCAACATGTCATTAATATCACAAATTATTGTTTTCTGTCATCCCCAGAAAAACAGCGTGCTACTTGAACGCTGCTTGTCAGAACTGTATGCGCGTCTTGTGGAGAGCAGATGGGATGAGCGGCAGATGTGCCCTGGAGCAGCCAGCCAGCCCACAAAGCAGAAGGAAAAGCAAAGGAGAAAGGGAAGGAGGTGAAGGCAACACCACGGCAGGACAGTCACACCCTCATCAGCACAGAGCAGCCGATATGGCTATAGCGTGGGACAAAGAAAGCAGACAGATTGCACATGTTCTGGTGTATCTCAATGCCATGACTGCACAAAGCTATTGATGAACATCAATGCTGACTTGTCTGTTTGCACAGCTGTTATTGTTGGGTGACGGTTTAGCCATGGAGCAACTGTACTGCCGTTGAGCTAGGCAACGGTGACGGGACGACAATCAGACAGGCCAAGCTCCACCAAGCTGATAACATTATGAACAAGAATAGATAGCTTAGGAAGCAAAGCTGTGATTCCAAGCTACAGCAGAGGGGAGGAAAGGAGAGCTCTTGTGCCAGGGGCCACGGGAAGCACAGATGGCACCAGTACAATGCCTCAGCTCAAACAATGACATCGGGATGCAGGAAGAGTGACAGAATAGAGAATGTGCTGATGGGCTTGGGGTGATGAACCCTCTGCCACTTCTGCTGCCCCCCAACACTGGTAAGAGCCTGAATTAAGTTCATAAGTAATGAAACCTGTCACCAAACACAATGACCCCTTCAACTGCCAAATCCCTATTGACAGAAGCACGGCCGTGCACTGTTAACGCTGGCACAGACTTGTGTGAACTCACGAAGGGCGATAACACCAGCGCAGCACTTTCCCATGGCTAGAGCAAAGGGTTGCTGCAGTCTACAGACTTCTTTGGTGACAAAACTGTACCACGTCAGCTTGCCAGAAAATTATGTCTGCTCATAAACCAGGAACTAGACTAGTCATTTTTTTCAGAAAGCAATTAGAGGGATGTAGCCTTCATCCTTCCTGTAGCTGCAGTGCTGAAAAGTAATCTAACCTATACTCCATAATAAAGTTTAAGACAAATGATTTTTCAAATATAGGTTTGTAATCACATATGCATATATTCACATGCTTCCATATTTTAATGTTTCATTTATTTATAATAAAAACACTTTCATATATTTTTAAATGCAGGATCCAAGGTGTAATCTCACCTCTGCTACTGATTTCTCATGTGACTTCAAAAAAAGTTGCACTGCTTTTCTGCACTCTGTCATTAAAATGTGGCAATTGTACACTATCAAGACTATCAATAACTACTGAAATGTAAGTAAATTCCTATATTATGATGTTAAATTATAGATGACAGGTACAGGCATAACAATAAATACAACAGAGAAATTTTAACTTGTGATAAAACTAAACTTTCAGAATAGAACTAGGAACTTTTTGCTCTTGTATTTTTGAGACACTAATAAAGTCTGAAAACATCAGAAGGTGCCAGATGACTAATAGCAAAGCAGTTCAAAACATGTATCACTTAAAAAAAATAAAAATCATTATCTGTGTATTAACACAATGATCTAGAAAATTAAATTTTATTACCTTTTTTTTTTAGGTAAGAATCAAAACTGTTCTTTTACTGCTGCCTATTGTATTTTAGGTAGAGAGGCAAACAATGCTACATATGTTAGAAGTATTGTTGCAAAATTCCTGTCAACTAAATAGATAACAACAATTTGCAAATCATTAAAATTAAAGCTATGAACTCATTAGGAATATTCACCATTTGAAATGGCTCCCTGGCTATAAGGTAGAGTAACACATCACACTTAAGGGAAGCTTTTAACAGCGTTTTTTTATTTAACTTTTTCTTTGAGAAACAGAGAGTAAGAAATTGAAATAACTCAAGGTAGCATAGGATGAGACCAACCAAGGGTAGGGAGAATGACAGATGCAAATGTATCTGGAAAAACTCCCAACATAACTCCTCCTCAACACTTAATAACTTTCTAACTTATTTAACAGCTTCATCAAAAAGAGCTTGTGTGTATTAGGTCGCTGCAAAACACTTACAAAAAACTTACTCTTGTGTAAGCCTCTAACTAAATTTCTTAGGCATCTGGCTTGTAGGCAAATACCAGTCACGGGAGCATGTGCAGCTGAAAAGCTAAGCTGTCTGCTTTCTCCTCTGGGAGGAATTAAGCACAGATTGAAGAGTGACAATAATCAG